TCCGTACACAGGAATGGAAGGCTCGGTGAACATGGAGCGCTGTCGACCCTTCACCGTGCTCGTAATGAACGGCATCACCACAACTGCCCTGAGTGCTGCTTCTGTGTTATTGCAACAATATAAAAGAAAGGCGGTTGCAAAGCAAAAGAAAGAAACAACACATAGAGATGGATTTAAATGTCCCGTAATGCACTAGTATTACTTTTTTGATGAGCTTAAAGAAAAGCAGGCAGTAATGCCTAATGGTAATTTTAAAAACCGATAAAAAGTTAATAAGAAGATAAAGTAAGATAAAAGAAATAGAGCTATAAAGAAAGGAAGTGCATTAATAATGTAAGCCGAATATCATGGGACATAATACAAAGGCACGATGACGATAGGATGTAACGTTGTTGCACAAGAATGAGACCCACACTACATCAGGAACTGTCGCTCACCTGCAGTCGTCCGCCATCTACAAAGTTTCTGTTTCTAGCCTAGATGAAGTTAAAAAACAATAAAACCCATGTAAAGGTGTAGCATGTGTAGCGCAGTGGTCAGATGCTCCCTGCAACACATACGTGGAATAAATCCCCGAGCCCACGGCTCACCAAGACTTCCATCCCTCTGGGGTCGGCAAATAGGTACCAGACTTGTTTGGGAGGATAGCAGCGCTGGCTCGATACACCGTTAGGCCACCGCGAGGCCCATTATAAAGGCCAGATATGAATTCAATCGCCTCCAAGTCATGTCGAATGAAGTCGAATGCGTAGCGCATCCCTCAAGGATTGATCAACGCCGAGAGCTTTATCCTTTATCCTTTATAGGAAGAAATCAAAAGTGCTTTATAGCTGTCATAAAGTAAATGCAAAATTCACTAAGCACTCCAAATCTTGTCTAGGTTATCTCACCAAGGTTAACGAAGACCTTATAATAGTAGAAAGGCACTAAATAACCGAAATATAATCAAATTTTGAATACATGTAGTTAAATCCAACATTTCTGCGTGATGAATAAAATCTATGGAGCGGTTTCTTTAACAATGGGTGCTGACACGATGTGCGTGAATTCCTACGTTCTATAGAACAGTAAAAACCATGATGAACAAGAGACCAACTGTAGTTCTTGATTGTGAAACACGAAGTCCCACTGTAAAAACCTTGCTGGTGAGTGAAGTTCTCCATTTCACAGCTTCGTACACTGTAGTGTGCGTGACGTTCTGCTTGTTCCACCATAAATTCTATCAGAACACATTCGTTGCGTATCCACCACGGAGGGTCGTCAGAGTATGTCCTGCAAATTGTTTAATATAGAAAAAGAACAAAAAACCGAAGAAGTGAACAGAGAAGAAGAGAAAAAATATATCGTAAATCATACACGGTGTTCAGTGTATGTTTAAAGTATATTGCCTAATAAGTTACCACATTGACCGCAGTGTTACTACGGTGCCCAAACACTATTGGCTAATTCTAAGAGCTTAGTTCCAGATAGCTGCAAAAAAGTTTTTCAACATCCTTACATAAACAATTCGCATTCTCCAATGTAAGAACTGCACGTAGTTTTTATGGGCAATAGTGATGGACTGGATGCGTATGAAAAAAAAACATGCGTAATAGAGTACGGAACACCAAACTTGACTTTTAGGCGAGTGAGGCGAACACGAGGAAGGCCATCGGCGTTGTAGGATCGTATCTTCGCTTGCGCTTCGATGAAAAACAGTTCCCAACCAATCTTCTCTTCGGCAATTTTTTTATCTGCTTCGCTCGAAATTTAACTAAGTTGCTTTTATTGGCACTTGAATGCCTAAAACTATCTGCTATGCTTTTTCACATACTTTTTTAAACACTTTTTCCATGAACGAGCTTTTCTAATCCCCGTAGCCCCATTGGTCGTCGATTGTTCTGAGGAAGCCTTATTCACACCTTATTCCATTAGTCCACGTTCTAAGTCAGAGGTTCCTAGTGGTATCGGCTGTTTGAAACCATGAGAAGAGACCTCTAATATGGGAATCATTTATTTTCTGTCTCTTGCAAAAAGGTGACCATTAGGAGCTCGGTAGATGCGGGCATAGAATGTGTTTGATCTAGAGAGGCTTACGGAAAGAAATGTTGCTCATTTTAGAAAAAAAACTCCGTGGTTGTACAGACTTAAATGAAACAACAAAGCTCTCAGCACTGTTCAATCATCGAGGAATGCATCGTGCATTGGAGTTTACTGAGAGAGAACAATGAAGACCCGACAACGTGCACACCTTCTCGACTCCGGTGTTCTTCCTGGCTTAAAGTATTTGGCAGAAACCTACCTGGTCGCTGCGTAAGCAGGATAAAACGAAGGTGGTAGGATTATCCCGTGTCACGCAAGTAAGGGATGGGATCCGAAGCTCCGATCTGCGTCAACGATCAAAAATGAAAGATGCCGTTCTGTACCTCAAACAGCCGAAGATAAGGTAGGCCGAACACGTAATGCGTATGAATGACTACCGATGGAGAAGAGCCGTTAGTGACTGGATTCCTCCGGATGTCAAACGCACTGCAGGAAAACCAACGACCCGATGGTCAGAGTTCTCCAAGAAAAGCCTAGAAGAAAGATATGATGCTCAATGAGTCTCTAGAGCAAGCAGACGCGAAGGCGAACAATGGAAGATTTACTGACGCCTGCTCGAGTCACTCGACGATCAGCAGAACGATAGGTGATCAGGTGTTATATATATATATATATATATAGATATATATATATATATAGATATATATATATATACGTATATATGGTCAGCACACTGAGCGAAATCGAACAAAGATACTTGAGTTCGCACACAAGTGGACCACCGTGAGGCCCTCTACGTTCACTAAGTTGCACCTGCATAACCTGCCGTCTGGTTGATCATCGAGTTGCCCGACAGGACGCCAGTAAAGCACTCACTTTGCCGTCGTGTTAAAGAGTACCCCAATGGGCTCTACTCGATCTACAGAAGCGTTGAGCATTATATCCTTCTTTGAGTTTTCGTGAAGACCTCTGACGATCGGCATCGTCCTTTCTACTGCGCGTTCGATAACGCTTCATCCTGCTTACGCAGCAACCGGGTCCCTGACGCATACGTTAAGGCAGTAACCACCGATAAGCCGAAAATGTGCGCACGGAGTCGGGTGTTCTTTTTTCTCTTCACTATACCCTCAATGTCCTTGAAGGCTCCTCCAAGCGGCTCGCTTCCTCCTTCTTAAGAGTGGTGCTAAGGCGTTCATCATGTTGATTTTTCGAACTAGATAGCCGTAGTTGGAGTATTCAGAGATATTCGTATCGTTTAGAGTGAAAGGGTATAAGAAACCAATCCTTCATGAAAACTGCTTTTGTGAGATATATTCGAAGGCCAACCTTCCCATAAGCGTTCACAAATGGCCAAGTATTCACTTCGCCTGGATAATGCATGGTGGTATAATAACGATGAGCAAGGACGGTTTAATTGCCGACCATCGATTTTCACCCAGCTGTCGTCCTATTCCAACTTCACAAGACGTTTTCAAGGAGAACGTAAATTTTAGACGAGATAGTATCGCATTGCTTAAAACCTCATCTGACGTCGGTGTTAATGTCATGGTAGAATGGTGACACTTCTACTTGTTTGGTTGTGAAACTTTTACACAGCCGATAGAGAATCTAAAAATCGAGTAGGGCTGCCCTAACTGCCCAAGGCTTCCATGACCGCTTCTATCTCAACCAAGTCAAAAGCCCCCTTTAAAGTGATGAAAGTGAGATAGAGCTGTCTCATGTACTTCGCGATGCTTCCATGAGGCTCGTTATCTTGTTGATGTGGTCCACCGTACCGAAACGTTTTCGAAACCCTGCTTGCTCGCATAGCTGTTTTTCGTCCAGTGTTCAGTCAAACCGGTTTAAGATAACTTGAGTGAAAAGTTTTTAGAGAGCATGCAGCAAGGATATTGTATGATAGTTGCCAATATCGTGGAGGCCACCGTTCCTGAACAATATCGCGGTCATGCTGGTCTGCCATTCAGTAGACACCTTTCATTCAGACAGGTAGCATGTGAAAAGCCGAGCCGGTGTGTTTACGAGGACTGGCGGAAGGTTCTTCAGGTGTTTTGGTCTTATCCTGTCAGGACTTGGTGTTGTTCGATTTTCCACCGACGAAATAGCATGTTGGATTTCGGAAGGAAGAACTGTTGGTACGACATATCACTCTTATTTCATAAAGGGAAGCAGGGCGTAGCTACTGAAGTGATCTGAATAGTATTCGTGAATGATTTTCTCCAACACCTTTCTGGACGCTGTAACAGCTGCTTCTGGGCGTCGGAATGCAGTGATCCTGGTGTTGTAATTGGCGAAGCTTCGGTGGGCTTTCCGAATACTTTTGCTATTCTCTGCAACTTCGACCATAACTTCCGCCCTAATGTCTTTAAGATCTTGTTTCACCTCCTTTCTGCATTGTTTTGCAAGTCTGGACGCGAGTTGACGTTTGCCTGTAGCTCTTTCGATTCCATGTAGACGCACATAAGATCAACTGCTTCTAGAGACGTACTCCTCTTGGTGATTGAACAAAGGACGCGATAGCTTGATCTCCCATAGAATTTCAGGACAGCAGTGATTTCGGTTAGGCAAACCTTCGAAATACTGATGTGGTCTACATCGTTATGATGTTCTCCATTGGGACACTCCCACGTACAGCATTGAAAATGGGCCCGCTAAAATTATATCCTACCATGAACTGCCTTGGTTGTCATGACAAACTCAAACAGCCGCACACGTTGTTCGTTTCATTCTAATCCGTGGTTCTCAATGTGACATTATTCAAACTTTTTTTTTGAGTCCATCCTCAACGTGAAAATCTCCGCTGATGATCTTGAGGAAAGTATGGTCTTCTCTGTGGGATTTCTCCAAGTCCATATAGAGCGTTTCGACACCTTCTTCGTCATTGCTTTATGTTAGTATGTAAACGACGAGTATTGTTAAAGCCAGTATTGATCCAAAAATCATCAATCGTAAACGCCGGATTCTGGCTGTTAGTTGCTCGAATGAATGGATGTTTATGCCAAACTCGTGTTAATGAGAACGACGACGCCTTCGACTCCTCTACTGTCGCATGTTCCGAGGAACATTTCTTCTCCGACGTCATAGACGGTGTTGAATCGGTGGGATCTTCCCTCCTTGGCCTGTCCGATGATGCGTGCCTTATTCTTTTTGCCCTTATGAACAAGTCTTCAATAGAGAAGTTACATGCATGCGCGGGTGAATTGTAGATACAGATCGCGACCTCAGTCCTTTGCGATTTAAGCAGCCTAGAATGGCCCTGAGATTGCAGCAGCCTCTTTGTACTCGGCGATCTGAACGCTGCCGTATCGGACGCTTTTTCGGGGTCAGTGAATGAGGCTCACTTGTTTTCGTGTTTAGCATTTGGCACCTATGTATAGCTTGCTGAGCACTGAACATAGCGGGTCGGTACTCATCTCAAGGGCGTATGTTATCTAGTACAACGGTAGGCGAGAGCTCACTGGACCCCTTCGGTACACCACTTGAAGAGTAAACTCTCCTAGCACACTCCTGAGTTACTCAATGACTACTAAGGACACAGGCGATATGAGCTATCTCGACGTTAAATATAAGTAAACGAAAACAGAATCCTATCTAACTTGCCTTCTATCTCTACCTTCTATGAATGTCTAGTTATAAGACCGCGCTTAAAAAGAGCCAGTTCAGAGAATTCGACAGCAGTGAATGAAATACCTCCGCACCTCCTAGACTGTCAACTGGTTCGTAGGCATTTTTTTGAGACGAAGAACTACAGTGATTATAACACAAGCACATTAGCACTTAAATCTTCCGCGGCCGACCTGATAATGTAGGCTAGTAGGACTAACGTGTAAAGTCATCGGACCGGCTCAATCAAGAAGAAACCGCCCCTAAAACGCTATTAATGACATAGAAGACTAACTCTCCCCTAAAATATTCGATAGTAGAGGACGCAACAGTATCGGTGTCTTCGCCAACATGAGCTTGACCATGAATACCAATTTCGTTGAGAAACAAATAAACCGATTAGGACGATAACAGTTCCAAAATGTACAAGTACACCTGCTTTGACAATCACCGTCTTCCACAATGTAATACCAGGTTACAGCAAAGGTCGAGATAGAAGCGTTTTGTACGGATCTGACGAAGTATATAGAGCTGCTCATACCTTAAACAAGGTGAGATTTGCTGAGTTCGATGCTATGACAATATACGGAAACATTAAGGGTTTCGTCGATATTAGTCAGCAGCTGAGTTAGTTCATCGCAACCACAAGGAATAATTCTCCGTAACGATGGACGCTGACAGTTGTCAGCCTTAAGTAGTGGACTAGCAGACGAAAGTTTTGTCTAACCGATGTTTTCGCAAAGCATTGCAAAATGTTTCATGAACGGACCCATCAATCCTACGTGCATTCCTCTTATTCGTAGAAAAGAGAACGAGAAGTAATGATATAATAAAAATTTGAACCATCGCAAATTTGGATTAGTGCACACTTTACGTTCACTTCTAGAAACATACCATTATTCATAACATCCATCAGAATAGGTCTTCGGCACCTCCTCCACAGTAGAGCCAAAAAAAGTCGAGAAACTTAAAGGCAACAGAAGATGTCCGCCTCCAGAAACATTCCTGATGGTACGCCGAGTATTTAACAAAGCAACAGGTTTGAACTCCTTAGGAAACTGCAGAGAAGAGGTGAAGGAACTTAAGAGCCAGAAAGTATAAATACTGCCTAGAGCTGCAGAGCACTGAAAGAGCATCCACAACGGCAATGGAGATCTAGCCTATAACATCAAGATCTAATACCGAGATAGAATAGACATTGGATCCAGGAGGTTAGTGCAGAAGATTATCCACAAACTACAATACGATTTCATCTGCAGCCACGGCAATATGTCTTCACACTCAAGTTTCCACACAATCTTTCCTAATAAGACGTTGTCAGAACATTAAATATTAGAGACATCCGCTTATTTCACGAATAAGACGTACGTGATACTGGAAGCCACTGGCTAATCTGCCTTTTCATTGTCCTCTCCTCACTTTTCATCCCCATGATCTCCAACAAAAAGAATATTTGATAAAAATGGAGGTGCATGTCTACGGCTGTCGCATACAACATACTTGCCGTCCTTATAATATCGTTCTCGTTGGGCTGGGAGCTTCCAAGGTCATCGTGAACATAGTGAAGCAGAAAACAAACACCCAACACACCTTTCAATTCTGCAACTCTCCCTGGCTTAAGACACGCCTCCGAAACCTGTACGCTAGATAAGCAAGATGAAGGATCAGGCAAACTGGTCAAAGGTATTGTTTGTATATTATATTGTTCATGTGAGAGAAGACACCCGAGGTTTCAAGCTAGAGCGACGATCAAAAATCGAAGATGCCATCGTATAGCAGAAACTAAAAAGTTGCTAGGAAAAATAGAAACTCAACTCACGTCTGCTCATTTAAATGCTCCTGTGAATACTGCCGCCCAATACCTACTGGATCCATTTCAGCGATAGTGGTACTTCCTCCGACCACTTCAACATCTTCCCCAACGGAACCTAAGATAATGAAATTGAGAAGCCAGATACTGACGATTATCCCATTGCAAATGTAGTGTCGACGGGTCAAATTAAATCAATGTATCCAAAAAATAAGAAGGAAATAGAAATACTTATCTGAGCGACAAAATTGCTACTTCAGATATAATATAATAAAACTTACGAATATTTTCAAAAACACGACTGTAAATGGCAGGGACCGCATCTCATCGGAATCTACATAGAACGTTAACGAATCATCAAAAAATTAGAGGATCGTAAATGTTTGCAACGTCACTTCAGTGGTTATTATATGTTAAGAGGCGAAGGATGCGTTAGATAAAGTATAAAATGAGAAACCACTACAAATGCACAAACAAAGGATAGAGAAGAACAAGCGGATAAGATGTGAGAAAGAGGAATGAGATTGAATCCTAAAAGGAAATAATGAATAAAGGATAAAGCTCTCGGCGTTGATCAATCCCTGAGGGATGCGCGATGCATTCGACTTTATTAAACATCGTTAAAGACAATTGAATGCATATCTGGCCTTTACGATGACTCGCGGTAGCCCACCGATGTATTGAACCTGTCCTTGTATCCTCCCAGAGAAATCTGGTACCAATTTGCGGTGTCCGGGAGAACGGAAGGCTAATTGAACCAAGGGGCGGAGATCGATCCCATGTGTATTGCAGGGTGCCTCCAACCACAGCGCCACAAGCGCCCTTCTTGAGAGACAAACCACGGCATTTCTTGTTGAAACCGCTGTTTGGTATTGATAAAATACGAAAAATAACACGACGTACAGTAGGTCTATTGCCTCTCAGAAGCGACGATTTGAGCCATGTTGTCGCGAAAACCCGATGAAACGTAGCATTCGCATGTTCGAGACGCAGTTCTATCAAATTTCCGAAATTAGCAAAAACTATATGGCACGTTGGTCGTATAAATGTAAGCACACACATATAGATAAGGTGATAAAACATCAGTTATCCACAACCTAGGATGTTTGGGAAAGGAGGGAACGATCGGGAGCAGCATCGAAGCAAGCGGACTGGAGCTATCCACGTGCCGTAACACTCCTTGAATTAGACTATAAGTAACCAGTAGCACACATTTACATACAAATAGCAAATGTTCCAAAAACAATGGTATATATTTGAGGGCATTTGAGGATATTTATATGAACTGACAAGGAAGAGAAATCGTAATGAGTAGTTACCAACCAAATAACACAAAAACGAATGACACATTTCGCTAGGGAACAGCACAGTCGGGACGTGGACACCTTCATTGTAAATTCAGCTTACTGTTAACGAGACCAAATTCCAATGACCTAGGAGGAAAAGTATTGTAAAACACTCAGGTTCTGAACAGGATTGCCTGGAAATATAAAAAGAGCTAAGGACAAAGTGCCACTCAACACTATGAACATATCGGATTGCTGGTTCGGCCGCCATGTGCAACAACTGGACTTTGAGAGTTCCATCGCCGACTATGGTCGATAACACAGCCAAAACCTAAAAAAAATCACGATGTTGCGCAAAAAATGAACTGTAGATAAATACTAGAACAAGCACGGACTTGAAACCATGACAACCTGGAGCAGCTGAGTCATTTGGGTTTTCGTCATGATGTCACTGACTTCGGTACATAAGGACTTTACGTCTGTAACCTGTTCCTAAATCTGTACCGACTACTGTTTATAAAATCCTATGATTTCGTTCAAAGATAAAACTTTCTTTAAAACGTACTACACTGAACACACAAAGATATAGGACACACAGTAAGATTCTTCGGTAACACATCGCATTTAAAGTTTACTTACTGCGAATTCCATTATAATAAACACACCTTTAAACAAGAAAGATAACTCTGAACTGAGCGAAGAATGCGAATAACAGTATGGCAATTCGAGGAGTTTTGTCAGCAAATGCCACTAGTAACCTTCAATATGTCTTGTTTTGGGCGTATATTAGAAAGTGTTACGCGGGAATCACTCATTCTAAGTTCTTTAAAAGTGAAAAGTATGTGAAGAGGCTCTTCCAGTCTCCTTCACAAGTAAACATGAAAGGGGAACCAAATGACAGCATCGGAAAAGTGTTCGGAGTGAAATAGTGAGTGCTTAACGGTCAATGAGATGAACGAAGGTATACCGAAAAGATCTACAAATACTCCTGGCAAATGAAAAGAGAAACCGCCATAGAATCACTAACGATGAGCTTCGATAGGTCAAAAAACGAGTTCCCATTGCATGTCTACGGAAGGATAAAATTATGGTCCACAAGTGTGCATCCGTTTTCGGCCTTCTATAGCATGAACCAAATATACACAAATTCAGCGCACTTAGAAGAACAAGTGTGAGTGCATACCTCGCTTAACAAGTTATAATCAGTCATTTTCTTCGTCGACGTCACCAATACGTCACGCATCGAAACCGAGCAATCGTGAACCTGAAACACAGAAGAACATTCTGGAAATATGTAAAAGCGTTGATACTGTATTTTGATGTTTAACTTAAACTATCGATAATCTTGCCATCATGTCATGGCCTATTCAGTATCGGGATTTGAAATGAGCACTTACATAATCAGTACTACTTTCTGAGACAAAATAACGAACCTTGGTGTAAGACCGAAATGGAAAGCGAAATGCTCGAGAATAAAGCGTAAGCGGAATCCGGAAAAATCACACTT